GAGGATAAAACACTGACTTGTACATCGGCTGGCCACCGCAAGTCATTGTATAGGCCACATCGCATTCAATAATACGATTCTGAATGGAAGTAGAATGCGTGCCGCATCCCACAAAGGGATTGATCAACGGCGAAGACTTTATCCTTTATCCTTTTATGGTCGGAGGATACCGTGTTCTCTATCGGGCGTTACATGCTTGCTCAGTGTACATTTTGATTGATAATTGCGATGATCAGCCAGCTTCGACTTCATGCCCTCCCAGATAAGCCAAACTGCAAGCCAAGCTGTTAGTATTCCACCCATAGAGGGAATGAGTTAGTGTACATACCGTTCCGGCTGCCCTCCAACGCATGTGCCTGAGCAAAGGCACGTCCTGCTGTTGGGGGAAAATTTTGTAAGTACCCCATACTTCTTCCCTGTTTCTTGAATTTTCTGAATTTTCTCGACTTCTGCAGAAGGAAACCGAACAAGGTCAATAAATGGGAAATTTTCGAACAAGACCCCCCATCCGACGATCCAGATACGACCCACTCGCTGATGATTCTAACGCACGACGTGCTCTGGTCGCAGCTAAAACATGAAGAGCTGCACTCAGAAAGTCCTGAAAAATGGAGTTGCTTGCTTTTTGAAGGCCCAATCTCCTATGAGATTCCAATTTCATCCTTCCCTTTGCTGGCCGTCCATGCCTTTACATCGTCATGGTGAGAAGCTCTTATGTCCTCTGTGGTTTGTATGTTCGCTTTCTTGCCTTCCAAGACGAACGAGGGGATGAAAAGGAATTGTGAAGAGCTGGTTGCGGTTTAATCAAGGTGTAAATGATTGGCTACAAGTGTTTCGAGTGAAAATAATCATTTACCATTCTGCAATAGGCGACACCTACCTAAACATAGGCTAGTGAACCTGTTTTGGGGGCACGCGACATGGAATCCAACGCGTGGACGGCGGCGTAACACTCGGCCCAGCCGGCGACAACGTCGGCGCGCAGTTTCACGCGTAGGTCACGCCTCAGGGTTGTCGGCAACGTTTGAACTGGACTCGTTGACTTCATCGCAGATCATGTGCCATTCCCCCGGTAATTAAATACCCAATCAGGCAGATCATTCCTTCAAAGGGAACCAGTCAACGACGATAAACAAACGCAATCATCGTCAACCTTTGAATCGAGCTGGAACTTCCTTAATTTCTTGAGAGTACGGTAGGGGTACAGCACGAGTTTGGTCAAGTGTTACTGCAAGATCAGACATTTCTTTGAAAATAGAAGTGGTGGAGAACAAACGGCAGAACGAACCTGCTTGTACATTTCCAAGTTTGATTCCACTTCCCATTCCGAACGACTTCCTCATCAACTCACAGCCCACTGAAGATCCGACAGTCCTGCAAGGTTATCAAAAGAGTTGAGCAAACTTCAGCAGGGCCCTCTCTGGCAATGTGGGCAAGAGAACATTTTACACTATCCCAAACAGAAGTCAAAAGCGGCACAGTTCGGCGACGGGGGGGGGGGCATTTTGCACTTTCGTTGCTTCACTAGTTCCGGTTTACAAGTCTCACTCTGGTGAAACCTGTGAACTCTTGTGAAGCTGGAGCAAGCTCGTCAAGCCACCATGGTAAAACCTGTCAACTCAGGAAAAGGCTCTCTAGATGGGTCGACACGTCGATGGAAGTAGCAAAAGTGCAAAATGCCCCCCCCCCCCCGTCAAAAGCACTAGTATGTCCTCGAGTCCTTTTAGAAAGGTGCTTTATACTGTCGAAGCGATCAGTACTTGATGTTGTCACTTCTCAACTTGTAAACGATCGTTGCTGGTGTCGAAGTGATGAGTACGAGTATTTGTCGGCTTTCTTTTCATCGTAATTGGTGGTGAAACTACCGTAACCCGGCGAAGTGGGCGGGGTCGGCGTGCGCATGCGGAACATTCCTTTCTGGTACTCACAACCGTCGTCGTCACAGCAGTCTACCTACCATGACTACGGAGGCGATCACCTTCAATCATATTCTTGGACAGGTAGACAAGTTTCCTTAGGTAAAAGTGTTTTCTTTGTGCGACCTTGGCGACTGGGGGCATTGGAAAGATAGGTATTTGATAAATGATTTGTAGGCAATAGTGTTAAACCCGTTGCCTGCCACCAAGTTATCATCGGACCCATTTTCTTGATTTGATTCACCTTTGGGGGCTCTTCTAACCCCACCAGCTTCGTGAAAATTCATTGTAAGCTCGTTACAAGCAATTTTGAAGCCAATGAGTCTTCGATGAGGTCCTGTTCAGCAAAAGGTGAAGGATGAAGTAAAATGGTGCCTGCAAAAATAGCAAGTCTGTCCTGAGAGAAAGCTGAGCACCATGAGCTCTAGCCGAACTTCAACTTCAACTTGGCCATCATCAAAAACCCTTTTGGGAGTCAACTCCTTCCCTTCCTTATCCTCGTAAAAACCTTAGGATAACTTTTGAAAGCCGATTCGGATTCGATATGACAATTTGGCGCAGTTCGGCTGCGAGGGTGCATTTTGCACTTTTACTGCTTCGCTATTTGCGGTTTACATGTCTCAATGGTGGTAAATCCTGTGAATTCTTGTGAAGCTGGAGAAAACTTGTCAAGCCGGCGTGGCAAAACTTGTCAACTCTTGTAAGTCATGCAGTAGCTCACTAGATGGCTAGACACCTCGATGGGAAGTAGCAGAAGTGCAAAATGCCCCCCCCCCCCTCTCAAAGGACTGCTCTGACAATTTTTGATTAGGGACGTGTCAACCAACTCGGTGGAGTGTTCATCAACGGCCGTCCGCTGCCTCAAGCTGTACGGGTTCAGATCATCGAAATGGCTTCAAAAGGAGTAAAGTAAGTGATTTTGTAAGAATCATTTCTTGTGAGGTTACTCTAATTTCTTTACAATTTAAATTAACTTAAAATTCTGCGAACTATTCGAGTTACTTTTATTTTATAGGATATTTGAGTAGAAAGCTCGAGAGTTTTATGTTTGTCGTTCTCTTGCTCCAGGCCGGATCCCTGGGCTCCTCCGAACTCCGGAAAACCGAGTGGCAGATTTGTAGAATATTGGGCGTTGGAACCCAACGAGCCTCATAGGCCGTGTTCGGCTTGCAGCATAATTTAAACTCCACAGATTCAGCTGAAACAGCGGCTGCCTTTTTCATTGCCATAGCCGGAGATCTCTGACTTCTCGTACCTTTCTGAGCGCCCTATTTAACCTGTAGTTTGGCTCTATGTGGCTCCCAAAAATCAACTTTCTCAATCTTCTGGCCTGAAAACATTGCGGCTTTTCTAACAGCGAAAAAATGTGTGCCAAAACAGAATCGATCTAGATACGGTAGCGCGACTGCTAAGCAGTTTACTCAGTCAGTTTAGCATTGGCTTTTGGCAGATTCGCGCTATATTTACCAATCTCGGGAAAGTTCCCGTCTCTCTACCTTTCAGCTGAATCTCTAGTGAAACCAGGGCAATGGGAATTCAATTTCTGAGATACCCGCAAACCCTGCCGGGATACAATTTAAGCCCATGTTACAGCGCAATATCCTTCAGGGGATAAGAAACCCATTAGCAGCCTGGGTTCCCGTATTTTCTGAAGATTCGATACATTTCGAATTCATTTTCTTTCATCGCAAACTTTTTCGAGTTCTTCACTAATCAGTGGAACAGATGCTTGACGGTTACAGAATAACTGGTTCTTACAACAAACCCATAAAATCAGTTCAAGTTGTCTTGGAATTTTCCGTAATTTTCCGTGTCGTCGTTTTCTTTTCTACTGTACGAACATGCCATTTAAGACCATGCCACATCAGTCGTCAACTTCGAGTTTCCCATGGAGCCGTGTCCAAAATTCTCAATCGATATGCGGAAACAGGTTCAATATCACCCGGACAGGTAGTTATTTTTCAATGTTCTCTGTGAAAATTTGAATTTAGAAGCGAAGCGGTGTGATGTTTGTGGCCTGCCCTCTGAGAGACAAAGAGGCGCCCGCTGTGCTTGCAGTGCTTAGCGGCAGCTGTCTGCATGCAAAACGTTGCTCTTCGTTACGGTAGCGCCCCTACAGTACTTCAAATCGACTACTTTTCAGATTGGCGGCAATCCTCGCACAAAGATCTCGTTACAGTCGATTGAGAAGCAGCTCATGGTCACCTATGAGGAGAATCCAAATCTCTGTGCGGCTGAACTGCGACAGCTGCTCATCGAACAAGGTGAGGGCAAGATAGAGATCTTTAGCACATAGCGTGGCTAACAAGGCATTTTATTGCTGCTCTCACCTTGACGTGATTACGTGAACGGGGTGATTTCAGAAGTATGTTCGAGAGCAACGGCACCAACAGTCGCCTCGATCAACCGATTCATTCGGGGCAAAGGCTGGCATCGTGAGAAAAAGCCCGAGAAAAAGCGCCTCAGCCACAGTATCGACAGTATTCTCGGCATTTCAATGGGTACGTGCGGCGCAGCGCGCTGTTTCCTCGATCTATTTGCTTTTCACACGTTTCATTTCAGTTCGTTCAGTTTTTCGGCATCTAATTTCACGCCGTAATCGCGCTCGGCCTCGTTTTTTGTAGCACCTCGTATTTCCCCTCTTCGATTACTGTAACTTCTTGTTGAGGTCATCGTCAGTTCTGATTGAACTTGGGTTATCGCTAAGGACACATTCTGCCTGAACATTTCTGGTTAAGTATACACCAATGAATAAACACAAAGTTTTCGGTCGGCTCGTTTAGCTGGGCCCAATCTCTCAAGTCAATCACTCACCTCCACTAATTGACTTGACCACTATAAATTTTGTTCAGCAGCTGATAGCTATCTACGTGGGTGATTTTGACACTCTCAGGTGCGCTAATTTCCTTGCACTCTTGGTGTTAGAGGAACAGTTGGCCAGTTCATCAGAGTGAGCCCCGGGAGGGAAGAACCTCCCTGAGCGGTGATAATCCCCAACAAAAGCGTCCGACGCGTGTCATCAATGGAACATTTGATGTAATCCTATTATGAATGTGTACTGTCCTAAGCGAGTGCGGTATGGTAGCCGGATGTTTGAAGTGATTGAGGACACTCCACTGGAGGTCCTTCAGAGAGCATGTGCCGAAAAAGAAACGCACAAAGATGGAGCGAGACAGGTTAATGTGAGAGGGCAAGGGGACTTTCTTACTGTTAGTTGGACAAGGGCTTGATTCACATTCAGGAAGTTTCGCCAACCGATTTTGGTCTGAGTGTTTCAGAGCGTTGAGCGTTTTGAAATTGACTCCAAGATTGTTATTAACCTTTTATTATTTTTATTTCTTTATCTACCCTGTTTGCGAGTGTGAACCAGAAATCAGCAAAGCAGACCCGGCAGAATACTTTTTAAGCAATC